AGCCTGATGACATTACATGTGTTTAACCCTCTGGAGGCAGGCGTTGCACATTTGCAGCGTTAAAACCTACCTGGTTACTTATTTTGAGCCTGAGAGGGTCGATCCTTATTTAGTGCTTTGGGCTGAAATTGTCCAGGAAAAAAATCAGACTCGTTATAAACCTTAAATTGGATCTGTTAGAGCCAGATTCAGGCCTGATGCTTGGAGCTCCCCAACCCACACACCTTTCCTCTGTGTGTGTGAGAGTGGGTGAAGCTGCCTAAACACAATCGGTTCTTCTTGGTTAAATGGAACAACGACCAAAGGACAATAAGTGGTCTCTAATTAGAGAAACAGATGGTCAGTCAAACCCCAAAATAAGAGAAAAACAACAGAAAAGACCATTGAGACTAATTAGATATGCTTACAGAGCAAATGTGTTTGTGTGCTGAAATCTTTCAATAATGGCCAGTTTACAAAAAATCTGTTTACCAAAAAGTTTCCATCGCCCTCTATTTAACAAAAAAAAAAAATATATATATATATATATATATATATATATTTATCAAAATTATTAGAAATAAAACAAGACGAAAATCTTCTCTCAGTTTTGTAATTTTAGGATAAACAAAGGTGGGTTCAGCAGGTGTGTTATTATTTAAAAGCCTGACTGCGTGCTCTCTGTTTACGTCTGAATTTAAATCATTGCTGCACAGATGCGCCAGAGGCTGTGTGTGTGTGTGTGTTGGTTCTGTTTGGAACGCTGTCTGTCTGCATGTTCACATTTACCTCTCACGTGAACGAGGATGGGGTTTCCTGCAGCGTGCAGGGCCATGTGACGGACACATGCGGGCGCCGTGTGCAGCTCCGAGCTGCAAACGGGAGTCTGTCACGGCACTAACCTGCCTCCCTCTCCTCCCCGCCTTTCCGTCTCACTCTCTCTCCCCTCCTCTCCACTTCCCGTCCGGTTCCTCACCCCTCCTTCCCCTCCGTGGGCCTCAGATCTGGACTGAGAACCAAAGCACAGGCTGTACCCTACAGAGGTCACGTGGACTCGGGTGTGCTTGTGTCACGTGTGCTCCATGTTGTTCCAGCTCAGCGAGTCTGGGCTTGTCTAACCAGCTTCACGGCGGCTCCGTGGTGCGTTCAGGCCAGAAGAAGATGCTGATAGCAGCTGTTATCATGAGTAAACAACAAAAAGGGTGTGTCACTGTGTGTTCACGGTCTGATGAGGGCTCACGTGGGGCCCAACCAGGGGCCAAAATCCCTGCTGCTTCATCAGTGCCGTCATCTAAAAGCACGTGTCAGGCGGATCCGCTCGATCACACCAAACTGTGAAGTTTTGGTTCCCATCGACACCTAAATGATTCCCCGAGGCCACATCCAATCAGACCTGTTCTCAGGAAACTCCCACCAGTAGCAGCAGTTTCCTCCCATCATGCGGTCCGAGTGCAGGATCAGCATGAGTCCTGGTGGACTCAAGTCCGCCCAGCGTCTCAGACACAAATACGAACACATGCTGCAGAGACGGTGTGTCTAGGATGTAAAAGGCAGTCGTCTTATTTTAAATAGACTCCGTTATTCACTTACACATTGTAGAGCTGCAGTCTTTAGTAAAGCGATGGCTGTTTCCAGCAGTTTGTTAATAAACAAGCTTATGTGTGTATTTTTGGCAAAGTACAGCAGCTTGGTGGCGAGGAGGAAAAGCTTTTAATAGTTTTTGGGAAACAACGGAGGAATAAGCTGCACCGGATTTAGGACAGACCTGTACAACGCTTCAGACGTTGCTTCTGTGGTGGTTGTACAACTGCTTTTTGTTCTTTTGGAGTAATCTCATTTCACAAATCGGTGCGACCTTTAATCCCTGAAGGGAAATCAGCAGTAGTTCCACCCAGATCAGAGTCTGTTCGTGCAACAGCTCAGACTTATCTCCGACACGATGATAACACTCACCGGGATCGCGACAGCATCACGGAGCGTGACTCCAACCATGAAGAGATTAAAAGACTTCCAAGTTAAAGAAGTGCAGGTTTATGCTGACTAGAGTCTGACTAATCAGGAGATGAAACCAGGTGTGTTTCTGACCATCGCTGCTGGAGTCGGTCAGAAGCTCGTTTCCTGGCAGCATCACCTGGTTCATAAAAGGTGAGAGGTCAAGTCGGCCTATTTGTGTCCGAGCTTAGGGACGGATTTCCTCTACGTTTCCGACAAGCTGCCAAAGGAGTCGTTCGGCTTTTTAAGGGTTCTCAACCAAAGTTCACAAAGAGTTAAAGAGAATAGTTGCCGGTGCGGTTTCTGATCAACTCTGCCGTTGACTTCTTATTTTGTTATTTTTATTGATTTAGTCAAAGTTACGTCATAGGGGCTTTAACCCCTTGAGATTCAGTTAAACTGCATCTTACAGCATAATAACAACAACAACAACAATAACAATAATAATAATAATAATAATTTCCTAATTTCAGCCTTGAATGGTTCTTTCAGGCTGCTCAATACACCAATATATTTAAATTTCAGTTTATTTTATGATCTAATACCATTTAAATGCAGATATTCAGAAGCTGTGCGGGACAGATAGAATCGTCCACCTGTGTGTGGTTTCATCACTCTGAACCATGTTTTAAAAACAGGAAATCACAGGAAATCATGTGATCACGATGCGTCACTGAGAATGTCGATGATTTGAAGATGCAGCCGTCCTGCAGTCAGTGATGTTTGCAGAGTAATTATAAAATGGTAAATTTTAGCATCTCCCATGAAAGAGCCATACATCGCATCACTACTGTGTCCAGCTCTGAACACATGTCCCGTCCCTCCGTTTCCTGACAGCCAGCAGGGTTGTGTTCGTTTTCACTCCGCAGCGACGACCTCACATCGGCGCTGGCAGAGGAACGTGGTTTCCGTTAGATTTGAAGTCCGAAATCTGAATTTACCGTGTTTCTGTGCTCTCCTTCTCCGATGCTTCTCGATGCAAACAATCATCATGTTTCAGTTACAAACAGCCGCTGCAGCCAGAAGCACCTAATGATCTGAGCAGATTTGGGTCATGGTGTCCTGGTGGTCAGCTGATCAACAGCTTTGACACGATGCACACAGAGTTTGTGTGTCCAGTTTAACCAGATCGTTTCTGGGTCAGGCTGCGGGGTTGGTTCCACCTACAACAAATATAAAGTCATTGATTTAATGACTCAGGGTCTGCTAATGAACTCAGTCGACCCACCGCCTCAGATCAGTTAGAGACGCGTCACAAATAAGGTTTAAAAAAGAGATCTGCTGCTTCCAGGTCAGCTGACAGAAGCTGCTGGTAGCCTGAAGATATGATGGATTTAATCGTGTGTGTGTGTGTGTGTGTGTGTGTGTGTGTGTGTGTGTGTGTGTGTGTGTGTGTGTGTGTGAAAATTGTCTGACAGCACCACCTGCTGGTCACAGCAGTAACTTACCTCTAGGTCTGACCTCTGGCTCAGGAATCTAATCTCAAACGCGTAATTTCAGAATAAAGACAGAAAGTCTCCTGCGGGGTCTCATTATGTTGGAGATCCAGTTAATTTCACTCAAAGTGCTGCTTCTTCTTAGAAATCAGAGGTCCTTGTTACATTTGCAGCTTTGTGCTAAATAATTTAAACACCTCTTCTGCTGTGTTCCTGCTGGCAAATAATGTTTCTCCTCCTCTTCCTCAGCTTTGCCCTCAGCCAGAGACACTCCAAGCCCCATCGACCCAGAGTCCATTCAGGTTCCTGTGACCTATGACCCTGACCCTGCAGATCTGGCCCTGTCCAGCGTGCCAGGTCAGGAGATATTCGACCCCCGGAAGCGCAAGTTTTCTGCTGAGGAATTAAAGCCGCAGCCCATGATCAAAAAGGCACGCAAGGTCTTCATTCCTGAGGACCTGAAGGTGACTGGTTTCATTTTGTCTGTGCCGCCCAGTACCAAATGATCCAGAAACTGGATCCAGTAGTAACCCTGGTGGTCCAGGATCGCGGTTTAATCTGTTAGAAATAACCTGGAGTCAGTGGCGACTCGTCCAAAGGGGGCCACCCCGCCAGTCTCACAGGAAGAAAATAAGAATCGCAAAATAGATTTAAAAAAAAAACAAGAAATTTAAACTAAACGATCTATACTTCATACAGACTATAAGTGCTGTGTATAATCTGCATTTTGGTGTAGTTTAAACATTTCTCTCACACTTAGCACGACTGGATTGTCTTGGAGCGTATTTCCTGTTCTTTTCGGTTGCAGCAGTCTCTACCAGAGATCTAGGCTATAACTGGAGCGTGCGTGCTGGACCCTGCTCCAATACAAAGAATAGGAGAGCTTTTGGGTGCAGAGGTTTGCGATTGAAGCATGCGCAGAAGACCGGAGTCTCGGTTCAGGATTTTCACTGTGAACTCTGCGCCAATAGAATCGCTTGTTGTTGAGTTTTTTTAGGCTGGCTTTCATATTAACCAATCACAGGAAGAAAATGATGGAATGTGGCATCGGAGATTTGTAAACACTGTCCATCAGGTAAAAGCAGCCCAAAGCCAGGAAAGTCAGGAGTCACCTCAGTGTGCTACTGGGACAGAAGAATACATAAACCAAGTGGATTTATTTTTTACCATAACATGGATTATTGTGACCATAACCCAAACAAGGCAAGACAAAATTTAAGCTTTTGACTTGATGAAACGGCTTTGTTTTGCTGCCGTGTTGTTGCGTGAGTTTTCACGTAGAGTAATGGTGTTTATGTTGTTGTAAAGAGGAGAGTCCGGGCTTTAATTTAAATGGCTGCTTCTGTGGAGAGGATCGTGTTGTCGCTGCTGTGCGTCTCGATAGAGCATCTTTTAAGGGCCTTGTCATTTAGCAGTTTATTGTTGGCATCGGTTGTTGAGGTAGAAAACGTGGATTCTGTCATTTAGATAAGCCTCTTCCTGTTAAGTACGTGTGCAATTCGCATAATGTTGGCGTCTTTGGAACAGCTTTGTTGCTGGAAGAGTTAATGGGCCTGGTACCGGTCCGTTAGGTTCAAGTTGCGTGATGCATAAGAATGGTAATTAGGCGTCCTCTAGTGGTGATGTGTGGTTAGAGCGCATCTGAAAACTGACTTGCAAAATAGCACCCCACCCAAAAAGAACTTCACCGGCCGCCACTGCCTGGAAGAGTAAAATAGACAAGCTTACACCTTTGTCTGAATATGGGGAAATTGTTCTGTGAATTGGGCCAAATGTTTGCTGTTTTGGACCATTTTTAACACATTCTGGCTAAAAAAAAACCTGAAAAGGGTTGAGTTTTGCCAATAAGTTCAATAAATCAGATATTGCACAATCTTTTATTGCAAACTGCCTCAGTAAAACCCAGTGAGGCTGGCGGTTATCGGCTTCGCTACAGAAACCAGGTTTTAGTTTTTAGTAGAGATTGACAGAAATATTCAAGTTAGAGGTGTACAAGCAAGTTATTTATAGATTTATTTAAACTAAAAATAAACAAACAAACCAGAGACTTCCAGGTAGCTGAAAACAATAAATATGAAGGCTGGTTCCTGACCCGTCCGCTCTTCTCTGCAGGACGATAAGTACTGGGCCCGGCGCAGAAAGAACAACGTAGCAGCAAAGCGCTCGCGGGACGCTCGGCGGCTCAAGGAGAACCAGATCGCCATCCGGGCCGGTTTCCTGGAGAAGGAGAACGCCGCTCTCCGTGTCGAGGTAGCGGACTTGAGGAAGGAGCTGGGCCGCTGCAAGAACATTCTGGCTAAATATGAATCCCGACATGGGCCCCTGTGAAGCCCCCCCCACCTCACCCATCAGCACCCTCACTCCCCCTCCAGTTTGAAGGACAGTCCTCCCCCCTTCCTCCCTCATCCTGTATGATTCTGGTGTTTTAACTCTGTCATTAGCTTCATTTTGTCTCCTCTTTTATTTCCTGTACACATGGTTTGAGAGTACACGTACATAGATGAGTACATATATTTACACATACATACTTCCCACTTTAAAGTGAGGGTCAAGGCCTGGGTGGAGACCTATTTCATCCACGCTTCCTGTTAGGAAAACGCTTCTGAAAGAGGCGTCTCCTGGCGGACCGACAGAGCGGCACTAAGGCAGTGGTAGACCCCCCACCCACCCCCCCCCTCCCGCAAGCACGCACTCACACAAGACTTACCCCTCAGGAGAAATGCAGACACGGGTTTCCTGTTGAACGCAGTCATCAGGTGAAAAGGGGAGGAGGGCATTTTTTTCAAGGAGGCGAGCGGCTCAGAGAGCCAGCGTGTCATGTCAGCAGGTGCGTGGCTGAGCCAGGTGGAGGTGCGGCTGCCTCGCCTGGAGACCAGTGCAGTGCAGCCACGTAGTAATTTGCTGATAACGTCACGTTTTTCAGCGTAGCCACCAGCCACAGCTGGTTCTACATACATGTGGAGCAGAGTTTTGACCTGAAGATGGAGACAGAATTATGGTTTGGGGCTGAAATGTTAACTTTAAAGTAAGTTGCACTAAACTGCCACACTAATGATTACACATGTGTACACAGCACCATTAGACACTCATCTATACAGGTTATCAGCAAAAAACGTTCATTTAGGCGTTACTTGCTCTCTAATGTACTGTGAGGAGTTATGAGCCAACCCCCCAGAGGCCCCGCCCACTTTCTACATGAGATCAGGACTCCTCTTCCTCTGTGACACAACCCTGCTTCAGTGGAGCTTAGTTTCATTAGAAACCCCTTTTGGGATCCTTCACACTGATATTTTTTGTCGGGTGGGGTATCTTCTCCACCTCCTTTTGCTTCTCGCACGTGTTTTTTTTTAATAGCACATAAATGTTCTGTGCGATCCAGGTGTAGATTTGCTGTATTTTTTTATTCTCATGTTTTATTTTCTGCAACACTCGAGCAATAATTTGTGTCCAAGCTGATTTCTTGTTGCTCTGCTATCCCGCCCAGCCTCATCAACAGGTTAGTTAAGCTGGTTAGTTAACCTCTGCACTAAAGCGTGTCTAGCAATCTGTCACCCCTTGCTTCAAATGACTCCTCCGCCTCATATTTATCTCCCTTTTATTTCTCAGATGGATGATTGTTTTTATATATAAATATATCTGTATTCTGTTGACACACTAGTTTAGTATGAATACTACTCTTAAAATTGTTGTTATCCTAATTATTTTAAGATTTCAGCATGATTTCTTTCACAAAACAGAACATTTTTGGGTTTCTTTGCTAAAGTTGTTGATAATTCTTCAGCCTGTGTAAAGTTTAGCGTGATATACTCGAGTGTTTTGATTCTAGGAGTCTCGCTGTGTTGCTGTACGTTTGCCTTCTTTTTGAAGACGTCTGTATGAATGTAAAAGATGGATGGTGTTGTCCAATACTGTGGTTAAGCCGATCGAGTTGTTTACCGCAGACCAAACGAGTTGCACCAGAGCTGATATATAAGAGATGTGTTTCTATAAAGCTATATGTTGTTCCTTTTTTGTACAGTATTTTTCCTAGATGTATTTTAAAGGCACAACACGTCCAGAGGATTATTAAAAATGTTTAAGTAAAGAAGCAGATATTTTGATATTCTCTAGCGGGTAGGAGGAGCTTATGTTGGATCAGCGCATTCAACTTTATGGGCATTAATATAATCTTCACATCTATATTCTAATTACTTTAACACTCCAGTTATGTTGGTATCACTTGTAGGCTTCCATATTCTTTGGATAATTAAAAAAGAAGAGTTTGACAATGCAACCTGGATTAGAGAGTGTACAGCTTCTGACATTCTTTCAGATCAATGCTGATTTTCTGTAGGCAGCTTCTCTGGTTTGATGGGATGACGTTACTGTGACATGGTCAAAGTGATAGGCACTCGTAAGCTTTATTTTACTGGACCCCTTAAGTGTTTGAAGTGCTGACACGTAAAAGTATTTTTACACAAATTACACCAAAATGATCATTTGAGCCATTTGGTTTCCCCATTGCTGAAATAGAAATTTTTGTTTGGTGTGTGGAAGAACAGAAGTGCCACACTCTTTTATTTATTTATTTTTTCACATAAAAATATGAATCAAATCCAGCCTACATACATTCTCTCTTGTAAAATTTGCCTCACAAAGGAGGAAAGTGTTTTCAATCGGTTTGAAGAACGAGTTCAAACTTAGATACACTATTTGGGCAATGTTGTGGTCAAATTTACTTTGTAAAATAAAGACTTTATTTAGAATAATTCATAAATCCCTTGATTAAAAGGAAGTGCTTCCTCTGTTGATTCCCATTTAAACCTTTTAAACTCACTGCAACATTTGCAAAGGAGTTCCTAAGATGTCTCAAAATATGGATGCAATTTCTCCGTTTACTTTGGTGGGTTTCAGGGCCTCTCTCGTGTTCCTGGAATTTATAATTAAAAAAAAAACACATTTATGGTCAAAATAGTATGTTTTCACCAGTATCTGGAACTCTTCAGCATGATCTCTTGAGAATCCAGGGGTGCACTCCTGCTTAACCAAACCCGATATAATACTTAGCATAACAGTGCACCAGCCTGACATTTTTAAGAGTTTCTTGCAGTTTCTTTGGCTTCGCCTTGTTAGTCCGGTGATTGGCTGATGTTAGTGTTAATTGTTTTTAAACCTTTTTGTTTTTGGGGATTTTCCATTTTGACCCACATTAAAAAAAGATTGAAGTTGTTGTGGCACCTCTGGACTTCCATAAACATTCATCACTTGTTTGTCCTTTTAACCGTTAAAACCCCGTTTCTGGAATCTGAAAACCTGCGACCACGCAGTGAAACTAAACTGACATTCTTACCTTGGATGTGATCGAACACTAATGATCAGATCCAAATGCAAGACTAAAGATGATTTTTACTCAAGCATAGGGCTTTAAATGTGTTTATTCTTTCACGGTATTTGCACAGGTGCACTTGAGTGCGATCAGGGTTTTAAAGTGTAGACTGGAATGATGCCTCCTTAATCAACAGAGCATCTATTTATGTAAACATACAAATATAGGAAAAAAGCCAATATTTAATCACAGATATCCCAAATGTACCTCACATTTAAATGGTTCCACTACCTCACCTGGAAACGTAAACCATAATTTTGAGTATTCCAGTGCCTTGAATTCATTGACTGTTCCACAGTCCCTTCAATACAGCACCAAACAAAAACAAGTTCAGATCGGCACCAAAGGGCTTCTTGGTGCAGAAAAACCTGAATATTCTAAACACTGGCAACTATCTCATGTCTTATTTTGGACATTGCGACAATTTGTAACCATTGTATTCATGGCAACACCAACAGTCTGTCTCAGAGTGTAGAAAAGTGCAGCATAAAGGAGCAACTGTTTCATGGGGTGGATGCATAACATTTCTCTTTGCTGTTCTGCCCTAAACTTATCTGTCTGTAATTTTGTCTAATAAACCCCAGTAATTTCATCCTGTGTCTTATTTTCTTCTAATAACTCCAACATATTTGTGAGATTCATTTTTGTGCAGAATAAAAAAATGTGCGGCATACTGACACATTTAAAAGTATTGTTTTTGCCTCTAACTTTTGTCAAATTAAAAAAAAATCCAAGTTAAAGCTTATTTATGTTTTGTGCTTTTCTCTACTCAGGAGTGAACTATCTGCCAAACTAGTTCTTGTTTTATTTATCTACAGGGTCTGGTACATATTTATGCAACTACTTCACTGTTAAGAGTTGTGCGACAACTTTTGTCAGTTTTCACATCCCCACGACTTGGCGATGAATTTGCAAGACACAAAAGTTGCCCCCCCCCCCCCCCCCCCCCCCAAGCTCCTTAGCTCTGGTGGACTGCACAGTAACACCATTGAAAGTTTAAGCAAGTAGTAGTTAGGCTTTTCATGACTGAAATAGGATTTGGATACCTGGTGGTTTTTTATGAAAGTGGGGTCTTGTCCGGGATTCTCTAACTGAAAGTTTAGTTGGGTTACGCTGTGTCCTGGTTGGTTGTGAGGAGTGAGGACCATGTGTTGTTGGGTGTTCCTTAGCCGCTAGAAAGGAAAATAGTTTTGTTTGGTACCTAGTGTGTTTTTCAGGTCTTGGGGTAATCCAAGGTAAGACAATAGGCAAGACAAAACAGGAGAAAATCTTTTTTCTAAAATTACTTGAAAGCAAGATCAAAATCCCAAGTTTTCAAAAGCTTTTTAAAAACAAAGATTTTTAGCACAACACAGAGAGGAGGAAAGCAATCTATAGGGCCTTTGGTTCGAAGGAGCGGCCAGCTGTCAGGTTTTGTTTGTTTTGCTAGTGTTGATGACTGGGTAGTGTCAGCTATCATTTGCTAGCTGAAAAAAAACCACATTTCTTATCAATGCATCATTATAAAGATTACATTTTAAGCCGCATAAAAGCAAAACGCATAACGGTGCATGTATAAGTCATCTTTATTGTCACATTGTAAAGGTGATAATCAAAACAGTGGAGGAGCAGTCATGTGTATGCAGCACCATAACTAGCCAGAGGAACAAAGAAACAAGTTCCCTGCAAAGGCCAGGACCACGTCATCAGATCAATGACAAATATGTACAAATATACAAAACAGAAGGTTTAGAAATCACAGAGAAGAATCAGGATAATTAACACAGGTTCAACCATTACTACAAGAAAAAAAGACTAGAACTGATCAGGTTGAAACACTGTTCAGTCTGAAGGTGCAAATCAAAATCTGAGACAAGTTGCAACGTAACACTGGACAACAGTAAGAGGATCGTTCACACTCGTGCTACAGGATACTGTTCACGTTACAAAAGGTGAAAACCACTCATCATGTTGCCTCCAACTCTCCTCATTTGGCTCATGAACAATGTCCCTCACATGAGTCTTCTCTATCTGAAATACTGAGAATCGCTTCCTTACAGCTGCCCACCACCTGGGGGCACCAAGTGCCAACATGAGAAACTGGCTCTGAAAGCTGAGGACCACATCTGGATACAGATGCAGCAATACAAGACAACAGCTACAAGGAAGCATGCATGGAATCAAAGAGTACACGAGTCAAGCGGGCTGAAATACAAATCCTAATGTCAAAGCAGAGTTTCACATTGAGTATTTTCACTTTACTCAAAAAGATTCACTAGAACAAACCGATTTCCACCATTTAAAATGTTCTTGTCACAACATTTTTGGCAGGAAGTATCAAAAATCAGCATCAAATTAGATCAGAGTGTTCCATTTTGTTTTACGCGTTAAAGTTTCTCCACGTTGGCTACGTTCTTGTGCAGCTCCTGTTTCTCTTACACTTTGGTTTGTTTAGGGACACCCTTCTGCTGTAGATAAGCTGCAGATCGAAGGTGATTTTTAGCACCTTGTTAGATAATCTCCATGTAAGAATCACCAGTTCCAACGCATCCATCTCCCGGTGTGGATCCCTGATCAGTTAAACTGGTGATAAAAATTGCTGTCAAGTTTCTCAAATACTCAGAAACGTGCCATGGATAAGAAAGTGGAAAAGGGTCAAAACGTCCTCCTTAGCAAAGCTTCAAAACACTTTTTCTTTAGTTTTTACCAAAAACTTGTATCAGTGAATAAACTGTTCTTTAGTTAGAAAACAGTAAACAATTTAAAGCAGTTACTTTTGTAAACTCTGTAGATTTAACGGGCAGTTGAGGGGGTCATTTGTACTTTGGAGAGCTGGACGAAAGCAAAGGTCACGACGAGTGAATGAGGGACTCAACGACGGGAGACTTGTAGAGGTATTTCCAGATGGCGTAGTAGTGCACAGCAGCCGCCAACGCCACAAACATGTGCCAGATAGCATGAGCAAAGGGGATGACGCCGTCACACTTAAAAAAGAACACGCCCAGGCAGTAAATGAGTCCTCCATACGCCAGCTCCAGAAGTCCATCGGTGTTGTTCTGTGAAGGAAATCCAACGCATCGACTTAAAATCTGTTCTCCTTAAAACTTTTTTCGATAACCTTAAACCTGTACCTGCACAATGAAACTTAACAACCAAGTTCACTTGTTTTTTTTTAATACATTTGCAGTGGTCTCTAGTACAAATGAATGCCTGCTGAGTCAATCTCTGTAGGAAAGAACTCTGGCGCTCCTGTTTCAGGAACTGCACGTAGGCCACTGCAGCGGTGAGAAGAAAGCTGCAGGATCTGGACTATTGTTTCCTGACATCTCGCCTCTGATTGGCTAACAGCAACCCCAACTATCACTGACTCCACTTGCTTTGCAACACAGCAAATAACTACACAAATAACACAAGCCTTAAGGAGTTCTGCAGTGTGGTGGAGTTGCTAATGCTAACGGTTAGCTTCTACTAGCGGTTTCCTGGACGCTAAACCAACAACGGCCTTCCCCGTCGTGAGTCAAGATGGGTGACTCCATGCATGTTAATATTCAGTAGGATGTTGATCTGACCGGCTTTTCTAATGCCAGCATTTCCCCGTCTAATTTCTATCGCCAGCTAAAGCAGGAAATAGGGGTAGAAGACTAGTTTCACCTTCAGCTTGCATTTGAAACTCAGAGTGACCGCATTTCTAGGAATGTGAATCTCAGAGCAAGTCACGATTTGATTTGATTCTGATTCTTGGGGCGCCGATTCGATTCAGAATCGATTCTCGATTTAAATCGATTCACAATCAGTATTAACAAAGAGTGTCAGCTCCCGGATGAACTACTTTGTTGTACAAGTTAGTTAAAGCTATGGTACATTTTTATTTTACTTAAAACTGGTCGTGCTCCAAAAATGCAAATTTACAAGGTAAAATAAAGTGATTCTAAAACTGTAAACAGAAACAATCTTTTGACCAAAAGGCAACATTTATTTTTGCTTACCTTGTAAAATATAACAAATCTGTAGTTACCTAACAGTAGCTGTGAAAGTAATACGGTCAAATACTTTTCTAGTATGCGTAGAAACAAGTTTAACATTTGAGTCCTCAGCCTGTTTAAAAAAAGCGTCTCAGATTTCTTACAAAGGAAAATGTTTTCTCTCATTTATCAATAACTTCAAATAAACACGAGTAATCCTGAGTACTCACTTATTAACTTAGAAAATAAATATGAGAATATCTAAAATTAATGAGTATGGAAAAAATTACATTCTAGTCCCCACTTATCAGCAGATTCAAGAATAAATCATCCCAATTTATGGGACCACAAAAGTAAACGGAGTACTGCCTCTCCTAATGAAGACCAAAAAAAACAGACCGAAGTGCATCTCAAACCTGTAACATGCCAAACATTTGAGTTCCTGGAATCGATTCTGAATCTTTGTGAATCGATTCTGAATCTTTATAAATAAGAATCCAGATTCAGACTTGAATGGATTTTTTTCAGCACCTCTACGTACGTGTTTCCAAGTGAACTTGGTCCTTAAAGCATCATACTCTTTGACACAAGAGGACAGTAGAGCGTGTTAAAATCTATTTTAGAAACAAACTTCAGCTTTAGTGCAACAAACAAATATGTGATACCGACTACAACATTGATAGATACAAATATTTTTAAACTAATCTTTGTTTTGTTATAAACACTCTAAATGTAACTCAAATCCATCAGAGCAGTCCCTGTTTAATAAGGTCATGTGACCTTTCAGGATATGAATAAGTCAAATGTATCTATTGCATTACCATAGACGTCACAACTGATGCAGGAAGGAATCCCATCGCCAGATAGAAGGCTAGCTCGACAAGTTTATACCTGAGAAGACAAACGGATCCACAGAGTGAGAACGTGAAAGGTTCCAGGAAGTAGAGAAAAAAATATCTGAAATGTTTATTTCTTCTTTCTGATCACTTCAGAGTTGAATTATTTGCTAAAATAATGAAATAAAAATAACACAATTGCATGATCTTGTTTAGGATTTGCCAACATTCGGATCAGATTTAACACAAGGCAGACAAAAGTGGGTCGGTCTGAAACAAGAACTCACTTCTCGTGATAGTTGAAGACGTAAAAGGTTCCAGCAGCAGCCATGAGCCACACAAACCAGCGCATGTGTGCGGCCAGAGGGCCCAGTTCCCGCAGATTCAGCCTGAGTCCAGACGAAAGCAGATCAGTTGTTCAGACCATTTATTAATCATGACCCTGTGATGCGTGTTGTGTCCTCTGGCTGACACTCACCATGGTGTGTATGAGGCAGCGATGAAGAAGTAGATGACCACCCTGTCACACATGTGAAAGCATTGCTCCACTGATCTGCAACACACACACACACACACACAACGACCTCAGCAACATGCAGGTATGAATGTTCACACAAGGAAATCCCCTTTGTTTACAGGAAGAGAGGGCGAGTGACATGAAAGAGTGAAATGACTGAAATGGCACACGGAGATCCTCTGGTGTGTGAAGTGGAACAAATGGGTTGATTGTGTTAATGCGTTCTTCATTAGATGACAAGTGTATAAACGTTATAAGAGAAGAATCTCTCCACCTACGCAAAAACACACCTAAAGCCGGACAGATGATTGGTTTTGTACGTTTTTCTTTTTACTTAAAATAGTGCAGATGCACCAAGAATCGGCCGATCTGAAACTCAGAAATCAGAAGTTTTTCCTTTCAGAATCCTCATTTTTGAAGCCAAACTGAAACGTAAACAGAAATATGTTCTATTGAATCAGTTAAAACCAGAATCAGCAGGTCAGAGCTGCACAGGAATCCCAAAATCAAATCAGATTCATTTCTAAAACTATCTTTTATGCCAGCATTTTTATTTACAACACATCTTAAAGGTCCCATTCACTTGTACCTAACATAACCGCTGTGGCCTCTAGAATAAATGAATGTCTTGTGAGATCATCTCTGTGGGAACAAAAGCTCCAGCACTCCTGTTTCAGGAAGCAGAAGTTAGCTGAAGGAGAGGAAGGTGGAAAACAGCAGGATTTAGAGTCTTATTAATATTCATTACATTCCCACATCTCACCTCTGATTGGCTTACGGAAACAAAACTCTGCCACTGACTCTTTGCTCTGCTACATCGATGTTTTATCTGCACAAATAACTCAAGCCTGGAGGAGTTCTGCTGTGTGGCGGGGCTGCTAATGCTAACAGTTAGCTTCTACTGGCTGAATGCTAAATCATCAACAGCCTTCTCCTTTTGTGAGTCAAGATAGGCGAGTCCATGAATGCTAATTTTCAGTGTGACGTAGATCTGTCAGACTTTTCAAATGTCAGCATTTCCTCATCTATTACTTAATTCATCATCAGTGGATAAAGCAGGAAATAGGTGTAGGAGACTATTTTACCTTCGGCCTGCATGTGAAACTCAGAGTGACTGATCACATAAAAAATATATATTACACAGTTTGTCAGTGAAGCTCACCTTTATATGACCAAAATAATGTTTATTGCAAGTGGGAATCCAAATTAAGTAAACTTGTGAAAAATCTGAACTGCAGTTGTTCGTGCGAGCAGACCTGCCAACCTTGCGACACTAATGCAGACAGGTTGGCAGGTCTGTGTGAGGCTATGCCTTCTTAATTAAACATTCTCAAACTGTAAAGAAATACTTATTTTGATAACGTTTGTTTAGTCACTACTATCTCTTTACAAAAACTGTAAAAAAAAAAAAACATTATTTGTTTAAAGTGTCAAAAGTTAATGGGAAAAGACGGTAAAGCACGAACACCCATTAGGCTGATTGTAGGGTTCAAAACTTGACCACCACAAATGAGACAGCTGTCTGATTTGGTGACATAATGTTTCATCTGAGTTCCTGTAAATTCATTAAAAAACGAACTATGGAAGACCTCCTGGTTCTCGGTCCAGTTCATATCCCCTCCGCTCATCTCTCCTCACCTCATGTGGCTCTTCTTCCAGGTGATGATGTGAAACACGGTGGAGACCACAAACAGGGCACAGAGACCCATGCCGTACACCCAGGCTGTGATCCGCTCCCAGCTGTTATCAGACAGGCAGTGCAGCAGTGTCATGCCCACGAAGGCCGGAACAATGAGGAGCTGAAAACAGAACAGATAGGATCTTTGATGCACTGAACAAACCATCTGTTCATCTAAACACAGAGATTTTGTGCACAGAACCGAGTTAAACAACTCACAGCATGAGTGTAGCAGTTTGCAGCATGTTCGTAGCGGGTGGGCTGGTAGCGGCAGTTAGCAGAGGCTCGCGTGTTCATAAACCTGAAACATAGACACAAACAAAACATCAACACACCAATCTTTCAAACACTGAGAAAGGAATCACAAAGCCTTGGCATGCTCAGTCACACTTCTTATCTCGTGACTGCAAACACGGACACCATAAGGCCAACTTTTGTGAGAAGTCAGCCAGCTTTATCAGCAAGATTACAATCAATGATGGGAATCCACACCAGGAAACTCCGTCTGCAGCAGTGGAGCAATGGTCCCGATGGTTGGTTTGCGGTCAGATTTTTCCTTGTTAAGATAATTAAAAATCCTACAGAGAAGGCTGAAGTTCACATCTGATTCTTGTAAACTGCCACAGGTAACAAGACAACTTTGACCAGATGTGCATGGCCCGTTAACAGTAAATGTCCTGCAGCTGGAAATTAGGATGTGGAGAGAATTATCTGCTATGGGCAGGGCTTCATGGAATTTATTTCTCTAAAATATAGTTTAAAGATATTATTCATACTAATAGAAGGAGCAGACTTCACAGTACAGTTGTACATAATGACATCTTCCTAAAATGAGATCGTTTGATTAGATGTAGCTCACTTCGGTCAATAGGATGTGAAAAGGTTTTTATTTTCAGCAAAAACTAAGTTAGCTCATTCAGATTTCAGTAAACCGTGTTATTCCCTTTTTGACCAAAAGACCAGGTATATTATTGTTATTTTTATTATCATTAGTCATAACCTCTAAGTTATTCACGTTTTAATGGGCTCGTAGATGGATTATTATTATTATGATTACTAGTATATTACATTCGGGACACAACCAAAACACCACCTACCTCTGGTAAGTGTTAACCCGTTTCATGTCGGCGCCTTCTTCTCACCACAGAGGTAATTTAAAATAAAGCTAAAAGGAAAAATCGTCGCTACGCCGGGAAACAAAAGGCTGCTTTATGAAGGCAAAATAAAACAACAACCCGACCTGCCAACCGGAGACAAACGGAAGGCCTAGCATTAGCTGCTCTGCTAACTTTCACTACACCGACAAGGCACCGGCAACGTGCACCCGTTCACTATAAAGGCACGATTTTAGTCTTTTTCTTAACGCCATGCTGAAACAAATACTAAATCAAAGCTTCGTGTTAAAGCTGGAGGAGCCCATCAGCACCGCTGGCTGCCAGGACGAGCGGAAAGAAGAAAGCCGAAACCGGTAACTCACCCCGCGAGCTCCTCTACAAAAATATGATTGAGCGGCCATCACAGGTGGTCAGATGTTGAGTGGCAGCAGCGGGAGCCAATCGGCTGCGAGCAAAACGGCACACGCACCAATCAGGGCTGAGGTGGGTGGAGTCATGGATCAAGTGATGGGAATTCCGCCTCTTTTTAGAGAGCTGGTTCTTTTGGCTCAGCTCACCAAAAAGAGCTGGCTCTTTCGGCTCCCAAGTGGCTCCTCAGTTTTTCTGCTGCGTAGAGTACATTTATAACCAAAATAATGCTA